CCCCAATGACTAAATATGTAGTTATTCTTAATTATTTGTTATTCATATATAATATTATTAATACTACATTATTTATTATTATAATTTTTGTTATTATTAGTAAATATTTAGTTTGATAAACTGGGCTGTGGTTCTGCTAACCGGACATGGGTATTTCGCAGAAAGAGAAGCAGGCTTGTTTGCTGTTGTCTCTGTGTAAAACAAGCTCTTAAACAGCATTTCCCAAAGGAAAAAAAAAAAAGAGTAGATGAATTTAACTGTAATTATAGGTTTGCTTCTGCTTGACTGTTATTTCTACTAATAATAACTAGAAGTCCCATGAGGTGCAGTGGGACAAGGACAAAACCTCATTGAAGCAGCCAGCTCGGCAGTACCAGCCACAGCAGCATTTCCACTTGTGACTCCAAAAATCCCGTACGCTGGCGATACAAGCCACCAGCTGGTCATACACGGCAATTTTCAAGTTAAGCCACCTACAACTGCAACCGAGGAGACTAGTCACGAGCCTGTCATCAGCTCAGCTCCCCTCTCTTCCTGCTGCCCTGTAAGGCACAGAGTGAGCTCATTTCCCACCTGGCTCCCTGCCTGCTCTTCAGTTAACCACATCAAGCGCCACGTCACTTGGAACAAGAACAGCGTGTGCCTCGGTCCCCAGAGGTGCCTGAAAATGTGCCTCCTGGGGCTTGTGCTGGGACCTGCAGCTGGTGCGAGACACGAACGCCTTCACCCTTCACTTCATCCACCTCCCATCTCCACTGCAGCACCGGCCTTCGCTGAACCCCACTCCTCCTGGGAAGCCGTTTGCAGCCGACGCGTGGTGGCTCTGCAGACCCGCTCCCGCAGCGGGGAGGCTCCGACTCTGTAGGGACCCAGATGGGGAAGCCGGGGACAAGGACATGTTTGAGCCTGTGGGTCACAACTGAGCACCCCAAGGAGACATCACAGGCTTTCAAAATATCTAGACTTAAGTCTGCAAAGAGGCGCAGAAGTTGCAGCCCCCAGCTTCCAGGCTAGATTCGCCACTACTGCACTCCTTGGCACAAGGGTCAAGGCCCAGGCACCATCTATGGTGACTACACGATGGTAGCTATGGAGTCAGAGAGCCTCTGATGGGAATCCACATCTGCCTCCTCTCTCAGGGTTACACATGCAGGGTTAAGCCTACTCAGCAGTTTAGAAAGAAAAAAAGACAAAAGCATAATCTTGTTTCCCTAAAGCGTCCCTGTTGTTAAAACAACAGATCAAGAATCAATCCCTTTTTCTCTGCCCTTTTTGTAATAGCAACTGCAGAGCAAGTCTCCCATCTTCCAGCTGAAAGCTCCAGCCACCACTAAGTTTCAGGTCAAGAGGGGAAAGACATTTTATTTCTCACTAGCCCTGTGAAGACATGGCAAGAGATGGAAACTATACCTGGAAGGACTCTGAGCAGCACAGGCCGTGGCTTGAGAGGACAGCACCTTCCTTGTGGAAATGGCAGCTCCTACGGGACAGCAGATTCCTCCTGTATCCACTAAATGGGATCTTGAGATACCTGTCCCTGGGTGGAGCACAACCTGGGAGGTGTAGGCAGCAAAGCTGATAAACCCCTGAGCATCTAAAATGACTGCAAGTGAAGATCGATACTTACCAAAGTGCGAGGGCAACACTCACCCAGGAGGCACATCTGTGCTTGCAAGGGGGCGGACTATGGTGAGCCACTTAGCACAGCCACTGCTGCACCGCTGCAAACGTTCCAGCAGCACCGAGACCATCAAAGATTTGGTGGTGACAGCTTTTATTGTCTCCTAGTGTACATTTTTCTCTTGCTCTCATCTTCCAGGCAGAAATAAAGAAAGCCAACCTCGCCACACATCCTACCCTCTCTGCTTGCCTGGTCACAGTACAGATTACAGGAGGACAAAGTGTGATTCATTACCGCACAGCCAAGGAAAAGGAAGCAGACATCCATGTTAAATGCAGGCTCCTCTGGTTGTGCCCTTCCCATGCTGTCGGCCTTAGCGAGACCACAGGACCTGTGAGGGTCTAAGCTCACTTTGTCTTCACATAAAAAACCAACCTCGGGCCTTGTAACTCAGTAACCCAGTTGGAGTTAGAAAGCAGATGGCACGATGTCTGCATCCTATCTGCCCATGCTATTTACAGCAGATTATTTAGCCTTTCTGTGCTTGGTTTTCTTAACAAAATTAATAGAACTTCTTGTAGCTACGATTTCTTTTTGTGTTAAAAGTCTTCTCAAACAAGAACTGTTGAACAAGCACAAGATGTTGTGGCAAGCCCCATACACGTGAAACCAACAGCCGAGGAACAGCCAGTCCTCAAATTTGTACACATGCCAGGTTTTCCATTTCAGCAAATATGGACATCATTAACCCACATTTGTGAACAGAGGACACCCTGTCTTAACAAGGGAGCTCACCAGTGGCCAAAGACCCACTTCACACTGAAATATAGAGAGCAGTTGTTACAAAAATTCTGCTGGAAAGCAAGGCATCCATGCACTTCTGACTTCAATTTCCCCCAGAGTTAACTCTCTCCCCCGTTTCTAACGCTTAGACCATGGCTGTGCATTATTAAGTTGCTAAAAGTAAGAAAAGCAAAAGTCCACTCCTTCTGCTCTGCCTTTGATAGTGGTGCAGCCCAGCTCCGTGGAACCACCCTTTGGTCTACTGGTGCGTGTGAGACCAGGACCAAGGCCTTTGTAGCACTGAAATAAATTCAGCACAGAAAGCTGAGGAAGAGGTGTTTGCTTTTGTAGCAGGGTGTGAGGGGCCTGCCCTTCAAGAAACACATTATTGGAAGCAAGGTTTTCCTGTCAAATGACTGCTGACAAGAACTAGGACAGGCAGTTTTGAGATTGCACAATGTGCTTAGAAGTGAGAGGATGAAGGTGTCAATAGGGCTTCCTTCCTAGTCTGTAAAGACTAGATCTACGTTTTTACAGGCATAGGTACATCAAAACTGAACACAATACAAAGATAATGCAACGAAGAAAGCGTGAAACTTTCTTGAACAGAAGCTCCACTGCTTAGAATAGGCAGAGAGGCACAGGATTCAAGGCTGTTTCGGATTCACATGGCTGGAATTTTAAAGCACCATACCCGAAGCCTGAGTTACACCACAGAAAGTGTAGTTGCCTTCCTGATGCTAAACTTAAGGCTTGAAGTACAAGCTTGAAGCAATTCTTGGAGCCAAAGCTGAAAGGAAAATAGGCCACAGACATAAAGGGGCCAGATACACATCAGCTTTTCTGAACCATTCTGACAAACTGACCTACAGATCATGTGTCTGAAGCTGTTCCGTACAAGCCAACAGCTGGTGCCAGGGAGGTGCTTTCAGGCAGGCAGATGATGCCCTGAAGCTGCAATCTCTGCACATCCTCCTGCTGCATGACAGGGTCTCTGTCAACAAAAAGGATTTGTGGACAGGAAAGGAACCACTCACCCAGAGCAAATAAGACAAAGTCCAGGATCATAATTTCAAAATGATAGTTATACATATGGTTACAGTTGGACTCAATGATCTTACGGTCTTTTCCAACCTAAACGAGTCTATGAATTCTGTGATTTAAATGCAACAAAATTTGTTCTCAAGCCTGTTTGCCCAGTCAATTCAGACTGTTCAATTCAGTTCAGAAATGAGACTAGCATCAGAGACTGCTGCCTAAATCAGGCAAGGATTCAGCAGGTGTGCAGGAACAGCTTGAATTTTGGGTTTTTTGATAACACACAACAAACTGACTGCCCAAAGTGTATCTTGTTCTGATGCAAGTTATATTACTGTCAGTTGTGGGACCGTTGCTGCTGAGAAACCCCTGGTCCTGCTCCCTGGGCTCCCAAGCCACCCACCCTTTTGTCCCCAGCATGTCACTCTGTCAGTCACCACACTGCCCCCAGCTGAGGCTCCTGGGGCAGGTTCTGACATGGCCCCCACCTTCCTCAGTGAGTCGCACTCCAGCCGCCTTCACCCGCTCCGTAGCGAATCTTGCCCCACCTTACCTGTGCCAATTGTGACCCAGTGAATTGCCAAAACTCTATTGAAAGCTAAGTGACAACCAAGTTCTTCAGCAAGTTTCAAGATAAGCTTGTTATAGCCTTTATTTTAAAGGAGATAGGATAGACCCTAGGATACAGTGTTTACATTCAATCAGTCTCCTATGTAAGTTTAATATTCGTGTGGCACTTGCACATTTTCACAGCCAAGTGCTTCCTATTGGCTGACAGCACACGAAAACATCAGACTGCGCGTAGTCACTGCACAGCTATGAACACAACTAGTAGAGTCAACGGAACACACTTTCCAGCTCCTTTCCTCTTGTGCTGCTGTGGGTTCAGCATGGTAACACTTCTTACTCATTTCAGAAGAGCAAAACACTGTCCTTTCCAAGATGCTTTAGAACAGATTTTGACTATCTGATGTCTTCCAAATGAGTGGAATTTCAAAAACAACTCCCCTGTCTTTTCATTTGGACTGGCGAAATCACAACCTACATATAGGTTCCTGAGCATTTCCTTAAGGTTTGTGCATTCATCCTCTTCTACTCAATGACACTGCCACAGGACACAATCAAAACTGCTTTGGATCCAGCCAGCATTGGTTTTTATCTGCGAAGAGGCTCGTGAGCACAGGTGATCTTGCCACGTACTCTGGCAGGAGGGGTACGCTTCTCTACAAAGGTACTCTGGCCTCTCTTAAGAAAACTCTGCTGAAATCTGTCGTTGGGAAGTTGCTTTCTCTGAGTACCTTTTCCCTGGTAAATACTTGCCAGTCTGAGGTAAAGCTTTTAGCTTCTCTGTCTTCTGATGATTGGTTTTCACAAATCTTAGCAGGTTAACGATAGCAGCTGGTGTAATTCCAGGGATCCGGCTGACTGCACCAATCTGTGGGTGGAAACAGGAACACGTTAACCAAGAACAAACCTACACACTGGAGCTAGTGAAAAATGAGATCAAAGCCTGTGGGTATTCCTTTTTCTGGTGCTCCTCACTCCCCATGTCCCTTGGGAAGACACAGAAGGGATTTAATTGCTGCTTAGCCTTGCTGCAGCCCAATATCTTACCGTCTGGGGACGGTTAGAGTCCAGTTTCTCCCGCACCTCTGCTGACAGCGATGCATCAATAGCAAAGTAATCTAGGTCCTCTGGCAGTTGGAGGGCTTCATCACGACGCACTTCTTCTATTTCCTGCTGTTGATTGACTACACACCACTCATAAGCAGCTGTGATGGAAGATTGGGGAAACAAGACCAGATACAGATACTCATGTGAAACAGGTCACTTGCAGGAATTCTGGGAAGCACAACGAGCAATTCCACTGAGACAGTCAAAAGCTCCTAAAGAAGTTTCCGGCCTCACAGACTAAAGAGCCTAATTCACGTCACTACTTCAGAAGAAGTCATACTTCTTAATTTCTTACAGGAATTAAGATACATGGGTTGGCTTCTCCTCTCATCCGAGGAAAGGATGGTCTAATTTGACAGAGCAGTAAGGAGGAAAAACCCAGGAGTGAATATGAAGAATTTATCTCACCCCACAAAGTGAAACACAGCTGCTGCACAGGGCTGTGGCCTACGGTGCGTGCTCTGATAGCAGTGTTTCGTTTCACTAAGCAGCAACATGAAACACACCGGGATGAATGGATTTGCTCTCCCCTTACTGAACGAAATGTACACAGGTCCCACACTAAGAGACTGTAACTCTTGTACTCTACCTTCTATTTTCAATCTCTCTGACAGTTCTCTCCATTGAGCAAGCTTTCCCAGGGGCTCTGGGACAGCCCTTGCCAGAACCTCCATGTTGGCCTCCGGATACTGAAGAATGTCAAAGGCACTGTGGATAACAAGAGTAAGTTTTTATGGTAGGAAGGAGTCACTTGCATAAGGCAGATTTACAGCTGTTCCCAGCTCAAACTTGTAAAAATCTCAACATAAACCAGAATAACAGCAGAGCCAAGCTCACCTCCCTACTATTTCCTCTCAGTGTACACAAGAGCAGTTCAGCTCTTGAAGAGGGGCTCTTTATAAAAAAATAAACAGTCAGATAGAAGGGATCAGGTAAGGGCATCATAAGAAACCTTTCACATAGACTGGGTCAACTAGGTCTTAGTCACTGATTTAAAACAACAGAAAAGATAAGGTGACACAAAGGATGGGTAAGGGAAGCAAGTGCCTTTGTGTACAAGAACAGCTACCATCTGACACTAGCCTGAAATCAATCACTGCTTTATCAAGCTTTCAGCAAAGCAGCAGCCCACTGCAAAACTGTCACCACTTGGTGACACTCTCGGTAAGGACAGTAAGAACTGACTGGGCCAGTGGAGTGCCCTCTTGCTTTGGGAGCCTATGTCAGCACCAGGAAACGTGGCATAGTAAGAAAACCAGTATCACACTTATTCTATAGGCAAACATCAGATGTCTGTCCGCTGGAGGTGATAAAGCTGGAATCTTGGGAGTACTGACAGCCTCAGGAAGGATGGACAAATGCTGTGAAACCACTAGCCAGATGTGCTAAAGCAAGTGTAGGTCAGATCAGAAAGCTCCAGCTGTAACCTTTACCTGATAGGCGACTTTCGACTGCTACTGATGGAAACTTCTGGTATTAACTGGGACCATTTGGATATGCTGAACTGAACGGACTTCAGTGTTGCAATTCCATCATCTAAAGCAGCTCTCATTTTAACTGCTTGTTCGTATCGCTGCTGTGACACACACCCAGCTTCTTCAAAACCTGCAGAGACAGATGGCGTATGAGACAAAGCCTACAACCAGGCAGGGCTGCTCACTCCCAAGAGCCACCCTAATAAAATACCTCTGGGGGTGAGCCTGGCATCAGCATTGTCAGGCCGGAGGGACATGCGGAACTCCACGCGGCTGGTGAACATCCGGTATGGCTCGCTGGTGCCCAGAGTGGTCAGGTCATCAATCAGGACACCAATGTAGCCTTCGGTGCGGCTGACAATGAAAGGGGGCTTCCCATGAACCCGTAGGCAAGCATTGATCCCAGCAATCACACCCTAGGCAGACAGAAAACAAAGGAAAAAACATTTATCAGTCTCTTCACGGCTAAAATATCAGCACATCTGCTTCCAAAGGCTCACATGTCAAATGGTAACCTGGAAAATTGCTAGTGCTAGTCATCTAGGCAGCTTCTTGTGATACTGTGAGTGTCTGAAGGGCTTCTTGGCCCCTGCCGACATGACTAGAGACAATTCCCACATCTTCAATGATACTCACTGCACAGTCTCCAGGCCAAAACATTTGACAGTGGTTCCAATTACTTTTGTTTCTGCAATCTCAGTAACAACAACTGTAGATACTACAAGTAAAAATATCTGTGCAAGTCTGGAACTGGGGTGAGCAACAAAAGAGGATATTTTATTAGCACAAGATGGGCCTAGCAAGACTGCATATCAAAGACAAATGCCAAGGCAATGTCCCTTTCTGAGTGCCAAGTATACACCACTAGATTCACCTACCTGAGCTGCAGCTTCTTCATAGCCTGTAGTGCCATTTACCTGGCCTGCAAAGAAGAGGCGCTGAACAAGACGAGACTCGAGAGAAGCAGTCAGTTGACGGGGATCTAAGAAATCATATTGCACCCCGTAGCCTGTGACAAACAAGACAGACCTTACAGGAGGGATTTTGAAGGTCCCTATTTATCAGCAAAGGCAATCAGTGGCACAGAATGATTTAGATTATCAAATTTTATCTACAATTTAAAAACAAACCCCTGCATCCAAGAATTAATTCTGTTTCATATTTCCTTTGTTTTGCTATGCTCTAAACAAAATCTGGTTTTTATTAACTGGTAACCAATACAACAAATAGATTTAAAACTACTCACACCCCCCTCACCTGGCTGTAAGATCTTGGCTTTTTCCAATCCCGGGACAGATCTGATCACCTGCTCCTGTAGCTCAGGTGGCAGTGTCATCGACATGCCTTGGGGGTAAATGACATCGGACTCCAAGCCTTCAGGCTCCAGCCACACCTGATGTTCTCTGTTTGGGAAGCGCAGAACCTTTGATTCAAGAGAGGGACAGTACCTGCAACAGGAAATAGCCATGAGCACCATCTGACATGGAGAAAAAGCAAGTTTCCAGAAGCGAAGCAGGGGAGACCCACAGTTTCAGACAGATTGTCAGCTCATGCCACTGACAGCCTTGCATGATGCTACATACTTACCGCGGGCCCCTTGTTGTCTCCCTTATGTGGTTGTTCAGGTGGAGGTTATCACGGATAATTTGCTCAGCTTTCCCGGTAGTACGAGTCAGGTAACACAACAGCTGATCTTCTGGCTGAAAAAGGCCAAAACTTTACGTTAATCCAGTCACAACACTGTTCTCTTACTGCACAACTCTGAGGATCTCCAAGGGTTTTTCCGTGCAAGTTGGCTCTCACTTCCTGCAGACGTGGGCAGTGCTGTTGTACCCACTGAACAGACAGAACACGAGCAATTACAGCAGACTGAGCAGCAACACGCTCAAAAGCAGACCAAGAACAGAACGGAACTTGGGAGTCCAGAATTCAAGTTCTGCTCTATAAACTGTACTCCTAATTACAGGATGGCTATTGCTATTAAAGCAACACATTATAACACAGCATTCAAACTAACCACAGGAATTCAAAACTCTGAAGTAAGAGGAGTAAGTGCTGACCCTACAGCTAACAGCCAATTAAAGAGTTTGGTGAAGACAAAAAAGAAATCTCTCAAAACCCTGCAATTAACATGGAAAATTCAAGGTTTGGGGGAAAAAAACCCCAAAAAACCCAAACCCACTGTGTAAAGCATTTAACTGATTTTTCTGAAATAGAGTCAATAGACTCACATTCAGAATAGTAACAATGTTGCCCTCAACTCCTTAAAAACCTTTCCTACAAGTACCAAGGACTTCAAAGGATATTACTTTCACCCCCACCCTGATTATAATAGGCTACCCCAACTCCTTTATGCTCTGGGGCAATTTAACTCCTGATGCTTAGTTCTGTGCTGTTTAACTACACTGTGTAAGAATGCCATCCATTTCCCAAGATTTTCTTTGGAAAATTGAGTTTCTTCTGCTTTTATGTTAATGCTAATATGCCACCTCTGAGCTCTGTGGGTAACTCCATCCTTCCTCATTCCTAGTCAACATTTAAACCTTATTCCAGAGCTGGGGTAACAAGCAAGACAGTACAAATCTCCACAATACAGGTCTAACACTGGAAGTATTTTGTAAACCACCCATGTAACCAGTGCAGAGAGAATACTACTAACAACATCACATTTCACACAATTCTGCCTCTAAAAGTAAAGAAAGTTTGGTTCTCAAGTTGAGAAGCGAGAGGAAAAAGGCACTTGCTTTCAAAACAAGTAATTTCTCCCTTTGCATTGAGAGTCCTCAGAAACATAACATCTCCAGCATGAACACAGCCCAGCTCCCTTTCCCAGCCATCAACTCCCTGCCCGATTCTGCCCGTGACATTCCCAGAACTGCTCCCCTCCTGGCTCTGTGTGCATCTGATGTGTGCTATCCCACCTTGATCCACACAGCCTTGCTGAGGAAGCTGAACGGCACCGGGGGATTGTCAGCAGCACGTTCCTCCAGACCACTGAAGTCAATCGTGTCTTTGGCAAGGCGGGGCGGTGTCCCAGTCTTCAGCCTGCCCACAGCAAATCCCAGGTTCTCCAGAGTCTGAGCCAGCCCGATGGCTGGCTGGTCTCCCAGCCGCCCAGCTGGGTGTATCTCCAGTCCGATGAGGATCATACCCCTCAGAAATGTACCAGTGGTCAGGATCACACTTCCAGCATGTACTGTGCTCCCATCTCCTGAAACAGCAAGTTTTCAGAGATGCACATATTTTAGTATCAACAAAGCCCCAGTATTCTTATGCTTTTACATATAAGGAAGAAATTTTTTACAGTAAGGGTGGTGAAACACTGACACAGGTTGCCCAGAGAGGTGGTAGAAGCCCCATCCCTGGAAACATTCAAGGTCAGGCTGGATGGGGCTCTGAACAACCTGATCTAGTTCAAGATGCCCCTGCTCTCTGCCAGGGAGTCGGACTAGATGACCTTGAAAGGTCCCTTCCCACCCAAACCATTCTGTGATTCTATTCTGGTGCTTCTGTCTAAAACGAGACTGAGGGTTTATCCATCTTTCATTATTTAACAAAATCAGCATTTCAATAATAAAAGCATCAAGAGTAATAACTGCAATAAGCAGCATGCAGTTATTCCTGTATTTTTCTTATTCCTAAGCATGTTACCCCTAACACAGAAAACCCACTCCTGGGGAAAATTCCTATCCAGGCCTTTATTTTGGAAAGCGTGTTTACTAGAACAGCAAGGGGTAACAGAGCAGGAGTCTGCTCGTAACAGGACACGAGCGCCTCGTATTGCTGTCAGCACCATATGCCATTTACCAAATAAAATCTCACAACGCAGCATGGAATTCAGCATCACTAGCCCGAAGAAAATTAAACTTAGGTAACCTCCAAATATCCTGTCACTCCAGGTATTTTTTCCATTGTACTAAACATATTAACCTAGTTTAGTTCACACTTGGCCTAAATCAGCTCTGTTGGCTAATTCAGCCTTCTCACCGGCGAAACAGACGCGTTCACCCCAAAGCCTGCTCTTAGCGGAGAGTAACTGAAGGTGCCTCCCGAGTTACCAGCACGTACCCAGGACGACTCCTGTGACTTGGCATTTCCCAGGACGGTCTGGTTCTGGCTCTGTCAAGAGAAGATCCTCCACAGATGCCTCATGAACTGTCAACAGTGGTGTGTTAAGGATTTCTTTCTGTCATGAAAGGAGTTACTGCAAAAATCTTGGAAGTGATGAGACATAAGGGCAGTCCCAAACCCTGCTGATTTCCAAAACATCCACCACCCTCTTCCCTGTTCCATTCTTACCAGGTAACTTGGCAGACACTCAATTACTGTATTATCCTGACCTATCAAGTAGATTTTTTCATTCACAGATGGAGTTTAAGCTCAAAATAAACTATTTGGTCATGAAGCCTGAGCTGTACATAAAATGCTAGAGAATTTTTTAAACTGTGCTGAGCTCCAACAACTTATACTGCATTAAAGTACCAAACAGAAAGGTTTCCAAGTTTAAGCACGGAACAGGCTGCCCAGAGAGGATGTGGAGCCTCCTTGTCTGGAGATATTCAAAACCTGCCTGGATGCAGTCCCGTGCAACCTGCTGTAGCAGGGGAGTTGGACTAGATGATCTCCAGAGGTTCCTTCCAACCCCCACCATTCTGTGATTGACAGGAAAACATTAAAAACCAAAACACCACCCCAACCATCACCCGCTGTAGTTTGCCCTGATACTTCAGATTTGAGTAATTCATTCTAATACTCCAGCCCACAAACACACACAAAAAAATCCCTGGAAATAAACCCACGTTTTTAAACTAGTCTTTGCTCTTGACTATCTCCTAAAATACCCCCACTGACATTTAACAGTAGCTGCCCTTTTTGCCAGACCCTATACACAGGCATCCCTACACACGGCGAATGTATCCTTACAGAGGGCAACGGGGCCAGCACCCCCGAGCCCGGGCTGACGCCCTCTAACCCCTCCGCCCTAGCTGGGGAAGGCAGGAG